AATAAGAAAGCAATAGATCAACCGCGTAACAGCTCGACGCATATAGTTAGCTTCCAGATATAGATGCTTTTGTAGCAAAAACAAACAGTTCTTTCGCAAGTTTCCGTTTTTGGACAGCAAACTTCAGTATAATCTCTTACCTGGGACATCCTCGGCCTTGAATGAGGGTCCCGTCGAATGCATAATGAAGCACAATGTAGCATGCCATGAATCTCCTGCTCCAAGTAGCAGTCCCCTAGACATGGGTCGATGAGTACAGAGATGGCACTCTTTCGCAGCAGAGGACGTGCCTGGTCCATTTGGAATATAAGGATAAACTATTAGAACTCTACACCATTAAAGCACGGGCATATAAGATTTTGATGCGACCATAAAACACAAGAAAAACTTAAAGAACTCATACCCACTCACTGAGGGACTGTTGGCCCTTGGGGCGATTAATGTCTATAGCTTTTCTTCCGGTAACAAGTTCCAATAGTACTACACCAAACGAGTAAACATCAGCTTTTTCAGTTATTTGACCACTTTGAGCATATTCCGGTGCCAAGTATCTGAACAAGAAAAATCAAATCAATTAAAAGGCTGAAAGATAGTGTTAGTCGGGGCCAACTGTGTTATGTTTCATACTTAGTTATTTACCCAAATGTTCCGATTACTCTTGTATCAACACCTAAGTCCCCTTCTGGCTGCCACCTCGCCAGTCCAAAGTCTCCAACCTATATCACAAGGAAAAAATGAAGAGGGGACCTAAAAACTAAAGGATGAAAGAAGAGAATAATACACGCAAGTCAGAACAAGCAGACAGTTCATTTTGTGACCAATTTTAGACAAAAAACAGCCTACTACATTTTAAAGACGAATTACTTCAGATTTTTGCGAGTAACATTTCCCCTTCCATTATGTTTGAAAACAACAACTATTACTACTACTATGCCGCAATTTCAAACAAGTTGAGGTCAACTAAAAGAATCCTCACTAATCATGTTCCCATTTAAATTCATCTCGGGTCAACATTACACAAAATAAAAATAAAAACAAAAATACCCGAAGTTCTTTATATTTCCTACTGGCATAAGGATCTCTAATAGGACTAAAAGAGTCCTAGATAGCATATGACCTGAAGTAAGCATATTAACAAGATTAAAATATCTTCTCAACTAATTGGTATCGCCTATATATATGTCCTTTTTTTCCATTGAACTTCACATCCATCTTAAAAATTGTATCTTTGCGACACTCATCTTGTGGATGTGTTGGACTTAAGCAGCTCAACATTTACTCCTATATACCATTACTGGTCTTATAACTGTAGGAATCCTCCTATCACATAACACCCATGTAGCACTTCTCCAATTCAACCATCTGATTTTGATTCTATGTGTAGGTCTTCATCTATCATTTCATTCTCTTGGAACATAGTCTTATATTTGAATTGCTCGCATTTAGGCACCATAATCTCATCTAATCTCACCTCGACTTTACTCTTTTTTGTGCTAACTAAACTTGTAGTGCATGTATTCAGTCTTACTTCTACTTATCCTAAAAACCTTACTTTCCAGAGTACTTCTCCTTAGAGAAAAAGATTTACAAGATCATCTAAACCTTATAACTTTTAAAGAAATAAAAGAGGGCCAAAACATGACCAGAGAATTTTGTAAAAAGATAAACATAAAGTGTACAAGAGCAACACACACCAATGGTTCAAAATCATGAGTTAGGAGGATATTATTTGGCCGCAAGTCACGATGAACAATACAACCTACTCTGCACTCCTCGTGCAGGTATCTCAATCCTCGAGCAGCTCCGACGGCAATCTTTTGACGTGCTGGCCAATTTAATGGATGTCCATTACGTCCTGCAGGTTGGAGAAATTCATTATCAACAAATAAATATGGGTTGCAGAATTTGTGACAGGTTCCTAAGCTTTGGTGTTCCCTATTTACTCCACACATGAGCAAAGAATATAGTTCTCATAATAATAGACCAGATATAGTGATTTAGATTTAGCAAAGAATATAGTTCTGATAATAATCGACAGATTTTTGTAGACAGGAGTTACTTGTGGAAATGGAACCACACTAGAAATAAAGGCTTCAATTTTTACTCAATTAAAGCATTTGAATGTCACACATTGAGAAAGACATGAGATGTAAAGAGGATTGAGAGATAAACACAGGAGTGGAGAGGTTGGTACCATAAAGGTGAGAATCTAAGGAGCCATTGCAGATGTATTCATAAACTAGCAACCTTCTTCCATCCTCCACACAGAAGCCGATCAGCATCACAACATTTCGATGCTGAGCACAGCTCAGGACCTCCACCTCAGAGCAAAATTCAAGGTCGCCCTGCGAACTAGCCGATTTGTGTTGTTTGACTGCTATGACTTGTCCATCTGGTAAGTGTCCACGATGTACAGAACCATATCCACCCTCAGCCAAAAAGTTAGCTTGTGAAAATCCACCAGTAGCACGTTCGAGCTCAGAATAAGTGAACCACCTAGGTGGTTTTCCAAATACAGGCGCCTTGTGTTGGCATATTGAACAAAGTGGAGGAGGATCAGCAGGAGAATTTTTGGTTAATGACATCATTTTTCTCATATTATTGTTTCCTTCCAGATCATGTCTTTCTTTCTTTAGACGAACTCCAGGGTCCTGATCACGTCCAAATGATTTCTCCGGGGTAACATCGTGCTTCAACTTTAGCAATGTGCCTTTGGATCTCGGTGAGTCTTTCTTTAAGAAACTTGAATACTCCTTTGCTGCAATGAGAATGTCTTGCATCCATTGGTGGGAACATATGCTTGTTGTAGGAGAACTTAGCTTTTCACTATCTGTGTCAGAATCAGATTCATCTGAATAATGATTGCATTTATGCGAAAAGCTCTTCTTCATATCCCAATTGATCTCAGTGAAGAAAAGTGGAGAGGCCCCTAAGTCTAGACTGGAAATTGAGGATGTCCCAGCGTCAGTTGTGGTGAATGATGAATGCTCTGGACTACTTGCTGGAGTCACGTTTGGCACCCGAATCTCATTCCAGGGATCATCAGACTTTTCACCTAAATGTTTTGAAGAAGCTCGTGACCTACGGGAGAGTTCAGTGTCAGTGTTAGGCGATCCAATGAAATTCAACCTAAGCACTTTTGGTTGAGAATTTTTCATCTGAACAATACTGCAGTCCAGTTGTTGTTCCATACATATTCTGGCCTCTTTTTTCATCCTCCTGAACATGAGTCATCAAGGAGATATGCATTTAGCACAAACCAGATTCAAATCAAACATCATGCACCAAGAGAAACTAAACACCTACAATCTAATCAGATGCAAAACACAAAGTACTTATGCATGCAAACATGAAATAAGATTTACACTGTATTACTTATCCAACACCACCCATCGTGTCTGAACTCTCCTGGCTTCAACAGCCACTACTCCAGACTGCGACCCAGAAATGACTTTGACCTTCACCTTTATCTGTGAAATAGAACTGTATGATGTTTGAATCCCATGTGTTCCTTGAAGGAACTATGATTTCAGAATTAGATGTATCACTTACTTTATCTGGATCATAAATATCATGAAGTTGAAGCAACATTTGAGTGCATGATTCTGTAATGAAGTCCTTCTGATCTAAAGTTGTTCCAGACAATGATCTCCAGTTGCTAGTCGTGCAATCACTGTTAAATCTAGGAAAACCCCAAAGCCTTTTACCTGAAAGTGTAGTTCAAGTCACTTTAACATATTGGTCTATAGCAAATGAAAGGACAAATGACAAAGACTGAAGAAACTAGAAACACACGTGAAACTAGCCTAATTCTTGCGCGGATCAAGTTAAACAGGACAATGACATGAATCAAGGCTTGAGCTAGCAATGGCTCTACAAATTCTGGAAGAATATGCCTATTCATTATCAGGAAAAACGGTGAAGTTTCGCTTAGTTAAAGACACAAAGACAGGTAGCAAGCAGGGATTTTGGCCAAACCACCTATAAAGTAGAAGGATTGATGTCTGGCATAAACTAAGTAAAAAGGGCAGCCCGGGGCACTAAGCTCCCGCTATGCGCGGGTCCGGGGAAGGGCCGGACCACAAGAGTAAGCAGCCTTATCCTACTGTTTCCACGGCTCGAACCCATAACCTCTTGGTCACACGGCAGCAAGTTTACCAGTTACCACATAAACTAAAAAGTATACTCATAAAAGCATTTTTAACACAACTAGTAGTATGTAAATGCATGCTAGGGAAGTAGATAAAGTTTACTTGAGCTATGAGGAGGAATGAGCACGAGCAGCTTAACAGAATCTCCAGGTTGAACCACGTGAGTTAATGCCCAGATAAAGGCACTTCTTGATATATCTCTTGAAGCTTTGACAGCAACAAGCACCACTCTCTTTCCCACATCCAAGCTTCTATTAGTCCCACTCTTCTCTCGCAGATTCATCTCAATCCTAACCTCTAAAAAGTTCAATTCTTGATTATTCCTCAGAAACCCATTTCAGCAAATATTTTTTTGCCCAAAATAACAAAAAGATTCCTCCTTTAGACTGCCACTTGCTAAGTTTATAAAACAGACCAAAGTCCAAGATCAAGAATTGGACTGTAACTGAAGAAATGAGGAAAGTATGAGCCAGAAACAGAACAGAAGCGAGGTGTCATGATTTTCTGGGGTTAAGTAAAAAGGTAAAGCAGAAAAATCCAAAAGCAGCCAGCAATTGCAGGCTTGATTTATCGCATCATTTTTCAACAGGAATTCAATTATTGAGATAATCAAATACGAAAAAACAAGAGAGAGGTGCCGAACAAAGAATTGATAAAAAGCGCATCAAAGGAATGGAAGACAAAGACAGTGAAAGGTAAACGAACGTTGAATTAACACTCGTATTCCAGCGACCCCACAAATTAGACAGCAGCAGATGAAAAAGTCTATATACTCTTTACTAATTGAATCAACCATGGCTACACTCCAAGAATATTACGTCGTAGTGTCAACAGCAGCAGCTTCATTTTCTTTTTCCTAATAGTACAAACTTTAAGATTAAAAAAAACGGAAAAAGTCCTAATATGTCCATGTACTATACGAAATTGAGCACATTTGTCATTCGTTAATACTTTGGCACATATATGCCCTTACCGTCTCATAGTTGGTCCATATATGTCCTTGTACTATACGGAATGGAGCATATTTGCCCTTCGTTAATACTTTAGCCCATATATATCCTTGTTGTCAATTAGTTGATCCATATATGACCTTTTCGAAACGTAATCCACCCAAACTAATTAGCTCTTTCGGTAACTATACTAAAGTGCATTACGAATACTATTTCCTTTTTATTAGTTTTTCTCTTTACCTTTATATTTTCTTACTTCTTTTTTCTTTTCTTCTATTTTTTTTCCCTTTTCTTTCTCCCATATCCGATTTTCTCCATTGCCGATGCCTTCTCCATTTTTGTCACTAATTTCACATGTCAAAACTCATAAATTGTTGCTAATTTTACTATCACAAACCCCACAGGTTCTTCTGACCGGAAGGAAATTAAAATTGTCGGAGAAATTTCTACCTTCACCAAAAATTAACCAAATTAGCACCACCGGAAAAAAAAAAATTGGTGGTGTTAATTTGGTTAATTTTTCGGTGGTGTTAATTTGGTTAATTTGGTGAAAGTAGAAATTTCTCCGACAATTTTCATCTCCTTCCGGTCAGAAGAACCTATGGGGTTTGTGATAGTAAAATTAGCAGGAATTTATGAGTTTTGTCAAGTGAAATTGGTGACAAAAATAGAGAAGGCATCAACAATGGGAAAACTAGATATGGGAGAAAGAAAAAGGAAAAAAAAGTTGAAGAAAAGAAAAAAGAAGAAAGAAAAGAGAAAGGTAAAGAAAAAATTAAAAAGTACTAATAAAAAGAAAATGGTGTTCGTAATGCACTTTAATATAGTTAACGAAAGAGCTAATTAGTTTGAGTGGATTCCCTTTCGAAAATGGCATATATGGACCAACTATGTGATAACAAGTACATATATGAGCTAAAGTATTAACGAAGGGCAAATATTCTCCATTTCGTATAGTACAAGGGCATATGTGGACCAACTATTTGACAGTAAGGGCACATATGTACTAAAATATTAACGAAGGGCAAATGTGCTCAATCTCGGCATATTAGGACCTTGTCCGGAAAAAAAAGAAAAAGGCGCTCGTAGGTGTGGAATATTTCTATTAGCTTGAGCTCTTCAACTTCAGCATAGATAGTAATGTAGTATGATTTGAAAACGAGTTGTACTAATTTTAAAATAAAATAATAATAAGATTATTTAAAATTATTTTATCTGTTATGCTTTTGGGCCTTAGCAAATATGGGAATTTTTATATTTTTATACACTATATGAAACTATATTACTCTCCCTATTTAAGTTTTACTATAATTATATTTTATATACCCAATTACCATTTATGTACATTTTAAGGGAATTAATGATAATAATTAGTGTCCTAAAATTATTCTAACATATCTTCCACTCCCCCACGTTTCTTTCTCTACATCCCACCCCCCTCCCCACGTATCTTGCACAAGAGAGCAGCAAATCTACCACTGACAACTATTAAAAAGCTTTGAAACTTTGAATTCGAATTTGGGTTTTCAAAAAACATTGTTTGTTTGGGTTGGATGTTGTTGCAAAGAATTGAGAATTCTCTCTACGTCTCTCTCTATCTCTCAATCCCAAATTTCAGTAATGTAAAGCAAAGGAAAAGAGAGCAGCAATTCCACCACTGACAGCCATTAAAAAGCTTTGAAGCTTTGAATTCGAATTTGGGTTTTCAAAAATCATTATTTGTTTGGATTGGGTGTTGTTACAAATAATTGAAAATATGGTTTGGAGTTTATATCTCAATTTTGAGGGATTTTGGTGAAAATTAGACTTGATTTTGGCTTAATTTCAGATTGAAACTCGAAGAAGATATGGCATACATTATACTACAGAAATTGTAGTAAAATAGTTGAACAACATTGTATGAAAATTATATTTAAGTTGTATGATATTGTAGTTGTATATAACTGAGTAGAAATAATGTATGCAAATTGTAGATAAGTTATAAATAAGTTGTATCATGTATAATTAGTTGTATGGAATTTATTTTTACTATGTATAAATCAGATACAAAATATACAAAAGACATATTGTATAAAATTTGTATTTAAGTTGTATGTTATTGTAGTTGTATTTAACTGGGTAGAAATAATGTATGAAAGTTGTAGATAAATTGTATAATATATAATTAATTGTATGAAATTTATTTTTACTATGTATAAATTAGATACAAAATATACAAAAGACATATTGTATAAAATTTGTATAAAAATTATTTCTACCCAGTTAAATACAATTGCAACTTAAAATAAACTTCAACAATGGCTAAGATCTTATCTGGACCTTCTAATAAAGGCTCCGTTTCTTGTGCTAAAAGGGCAAAATTTTACAAGTTCCGAAATCTTTTTCGCGGAGGAGTTTTTCTGCAACGCCTAATAATCTTTCTGCTTCAGCTCTGCTTGTAGTCGTATGATGTTCCATTTTTTTTTTTCAGGGGAATTTTTTGCAGTTTTGTTTTTTGGGTTTGATATGAAAATGGGAACGGAGAAAATGAAGGACGATTTTGGGAAGGGGGAAGGGATTAGGGGTTGGGGTTTTGGGGGTGCGTGGTGTTACTGTGGAGAGTGTGTAGAGTGCAAATGTTGTCGTTTTAGGACCAAATGAAATGAGAGTTGCATAAACGTTTATCTCAACATTGTAATGAGGTTTGAATGCAAGTATTTTGATTATGGATAATATTTAATGTGAAGCCACAAATAATGGAAGATCGGGAGAGAAAGGGGAGAGAGGAGAAAAAAAAGGAAAATAGTGGAATTAAATCCCTTAATTGAAGGCACTAATAATGGATTGAGAGCCTTTTAAGGTGGAATGTATATATTTTGCAAACAAAACATGTATAGGTAGGATAATTAGCTAAACATGGACATTAAGGGTAATAAAGTTTCCAATAGTGTATAGGAATGAAAAAATCTCTATTTATATTGCCATTAACAGACGAGAAAATTTTTACTCAATATTCCATCCGGTCCACAATAAGTGACCAATTTACTTTTTTATTTTGGTCCAAAATAAGTGTCCATTTATATATTCAAGACAAAATTCAGTTTGTTTTTCCAAAATTATCCTTATGTATGTATCCTTAAAAAGTATTTTACTCCTCATATTAAATTATGCTGCAACATTTAATTAAGGGTAGTTTCTATGGGTCGAAATCTGGACAGACAAGAATCCGCATGAAGAGGAACGGCAAAAAGTCACTTGGGCCGAAGTCGTATCCATACAACGCTATAACGACACGCACCTCGGCCACGGCCGAGGTCGTGTATTCAGAATGCTTGAACGGCGAATTGGATGTTACGGCATTTCAGAGGGTCAACCAGTAATACAGTCAAATGACTTAGGTGCTTTGGGTAAATGAGAATACCTGGTATATAAACTAAGTGTGAGAAGAAAAAGA